CTGCCGCGTCGCGTTGTGAAAGGGCAAAGATTCCAAAGAAAGCCAGTTGCCCACAGATCCAAAGCTGTACTTGTAGGCTTTTCGGAGACATCTCTCCATCGTCCTAGGTCGAAATCTCTCTTATTATATTTGTCGAAAGATCTTTCAAACCCTCTGCGGTCGATGCGCAAAGATGGCGCCCATCACGAGATCCTCCGTCCACGGAAGGCAGTCCCAAGTAGGTCAATGAAGCACCTTCCGCAGGCACATTTTACTAAACCCAGATGTGTAGCTGGACAACCACCAGACGTTCGAAGAGTCTCACGTACCTGACGACGACCAAGAGATGGATGACCAGGACGAAGAAGAGTCGGTTCACGAAGGTGCGACGAACCAAAATCAATTTCATCTCACTTCACGCAACATCATGGACGCTACTTCTTCCGAGACGCAGTTAGGGACCCAGACACTGATCGACGCTTTAGATGCCCCGTCACCCTTCAGATCTTCTGCGCAGGAAATGCTCCGTCCTCTTCAAGATACGGCCGACCGCGTGAGCAGGCAAGTCGAGGAGTTCGCGAAAGCTCTAGATAGGTTTGTGTCCGCTCGGGAGCCCACGGATAACTCCCTGTGGGAAGATGCCTTGGTACTCTTGGAACGTTACAGCAAGATCGCGGACATTCGCAAATCGAAGACGCCTGCGGAGGAGTCGGTGGGACAATTGGAAAAGATACAACTCGAGTCAGACTTGTGGATTTTGGTTAGGAACCTGCTATACTGCAATTCTCCCTCCTCTCTCAATGACGCACAAATTGCCCAAGAATCGAGGTTGGGTGGTCTACATCGCTATTCCAGCAATGTCGAACTATGGACTGCCTTCCTAGACTCCGATGCCGTGGCACAGGAATACGAAAATATCCTGGCGTGGTTACAAGAAAGGGCTGCTGAGACATCGCCTCCCATTGAAGACTGTACGCGTAGTCTTTCTGAGAAATCGGAACGTGGAGAGGGCATCTGGAGCGCCGGACCTATCTTCACACAAACTGCCATCAAGCAGCAGAAACGAACTAGGGTATGGTCGATACCATTGGAGCCGACAAATCCTGGGTTGAACCGAACTCACGTCCGCAAAACCGACCAGAAACCACTCGTGGCCCAGCTGGATCCTGATGCTCCCACAAGGGAGTCGGCTGTGCTCCAAGAACAGGATGAATTCCACGACCAAGCAGCCTGGCAAACTTACTGGGAAATGCTGCGCAGGGGGTATACCAACGACCAAATTCAATCTTGGTTCGCTGAACGAAAAGAAGTCTGGAGATATGTAACCCTTTGCGGATGTGGCCCACGCTCAGAACAAATGCTCAACTCACCCTGGTTGCGTATCTTGAACTTTGCCGCAAATTCTGAATGGCTAGAGCGTTGTGAAGCTCTAGCCCAAAACCCTGTCATCCAAGATCGGTTCCAGAAGGCCACTTATGGTATACTCTGTGGTGATATTGGGGCTTCGAGATCTGCAAGCAGGTCGATCGATGACAATCTGTTCTCCATTTTCAATTCCCTCCTGATTCGAAGATATCGGGACTATCTTCAAGCCTACCGAAAGAGACTCGCAGACACGGCTGTCATTGAGTACCGACCTTTACCACCATCGACCGCCGAGATCCAGCAGTATGTCGCCCTTGCTCAGTCAAACCCAACGACCAGGGACGAATCTTACCAGCCACACAAGCTGATGGAGCTGACCATTGTGTCCAAGAGCTTCAATGACTTCTTTGTCAATATGGGCAGGGCTGCTGCTGGTGTCGCGCATACCATGAGCCAAGGTGCGCATCTCATGAGCAGGAGCCAGCATGAGGGGACGGAGGCCGCCATGCTGAATGCTCAGGACCAGGACAGTATTCGTATGGTGGCACATCTGCAGCTGTTGTTACGGTCCTTGGGCTTGTTGCAATCATCATACGCCGAGCACGAATATGAACTTGAAAACAACATCGCGGCATATATCGGATTGTTAGAAACCTGGGGCAAGTGGCTTCTGATTCCTCTTTATGCGTCCAAGCTGTCGAAGAAGAGATGCCATCATGTTCTCGGAGCCATCCTGGTCAATGTCACAGATCGCCGGGAAAGAGATCTACAAGTCAAGCTGATGAAGCAATACAACATCAATGTCTCAGAAGTCATCTATGGGTTATTTACTCTCGCCAACTACTCGGATCTCCAGCACCTCCGAAAATACGAACCTGGTCCAATATCTGCCAGAATCACAGTCTTGGGTGGTACAGGCAAATTGGCCCAGCACAAGGTTCGGCCTGACTTGATGGCAGGCGAGATCACGGAGAGAGACGAGAAAGCTGTTCGAAGCGCCGAGTGGGTTCGATACGTCAATGCTGAAAACTGGGCCGCGGCTACCTGGGCTGTCACATCACTTTACAAGATCTTCTTGATCGAAGGAAGATTTGTCGCCCTCCGTCAGCTGCTAGATCGAGTGCGGCTGTCGGATATGTCACTTGCAGCCTTGGGAATGAATCTATATTTTGGCGACGTGGATCCGCCGATAGGTAATGTTGAAAGCGAGGCGGAGGAAGTGGACGACGAGCGCGTGACTCCCATGAGCAGCCCTACCAGGAAGAGAAAAGCCGCTCACTCAGATCATCCTTCGACGACGACTGGGACCGATCGACCGACTCTGGCGTCGAAATCAGTGACATGGAAACAGCTGGAAGAACTGGCCGCTGCCATTGACGCTTTGGACATTTTTCAGGAACTCGCAGATGTCCTTGAACAGTGAGTAGCCATGTCTCGGCGATTCCCTTGACCAGAACTGACAAGAACGATACAGGCATCGAACAAATCCAACAGCAGCACGAAATTACAAACGCGAACTGAAACGTGCTCTGGAGGAGCTCCGACAGGCCATGCTGCCACTTTTGGACAATGATTTTCTTTGCCAAGCTGAAGATGTCATGGATGCTGTGATTCTGAACGATATCCGCAATCACTACATTCCCGAATGTGTTCTTGCGTACAACAGCGCATTGTGGTTTGCAGGCCACTTCTCTTCCCGTGCATGGCTTGTTGAGTGTATGACGCTAGCCCAGGTAGTTGCAGAAACTCCCATGCTCACCAATGCCTTTGTGACGAGTGGAAGAATGAAGGAACTTGTCCGTGCCTTTGCGGTTGATAGCCAAGCTCTTCTACAAGCAACTGAGCAAGGGGCAGCTGGTGGTGCAGGCGCAAGTGCCAGTCGGACCAAGAAGATCAAGACGGATAAAGGAAATGCGGAGATTTGGAAGGTGTCCTGGAAGGAACAGACGGGGCCCCTGGATTTGGAGGCGGTGGACTGAGCACCATACAATGTGAGCGTCCTGTGTACCATTAGCTGGCGGATGCAGAAAACGATGGCGAAAGAAATCAAGGTGCTTGATTGGATCACCAAGAGCTTGGTTATGAAGCACACCGGGATATCTTCTGTGGAAGCATCTGTTTGCAAGAAGATACCTGGAGCCTACGAGCTCACTTGTTCATTGTCATCTCCATTCTTCTCGTAAGCCAATGTAAAGTATGGGGTGGATGAGGCCTTTTCTCTAAGCATTCCGCGGTTTCAGTACCAGTGAGATGAGCGTAGCGAGCACCTCGTGTGCTGTCAAACATGCTCGGCATCAATAATACGGAGTGACAATGGCAAAGACGGCGGGCCAGGGTCGTGGTTTGGGACGAGGCTGAAGCGAAATTATGTAGAGATTCCTTTGCCCCTTGTCGAGTCTCCCCCTTGACGCTAATGCTGACGGCGCTCACATGGATCAGCGTATCTACGAGCGTCGAGTGCCGAGTATCACCTCACACGAGCAGTGACTCACGACGCCGTGATACTCGTAGAGCGAGGACAAGGTCGAGGGCGGGGCCTAGGGACCGCGGCTGGGGGATAGAAGTAGGAGAGGAATAAAACCTGGGTCCCCAACTCCAGGAGTAGAACACCAGTAGTAGAATATCAAAATTCACAAAAGAAACAATTACCTCGATCTGCGGATTTGGTGATTTTGATCGGAGGTGATGAATTCTGTCCGTCTGTCGTCGTCGATATCATCATTACCCTCGTCCTCGCCTCGATCAATCCCTCCTCGCCCTTTTTCGTACTGTTTCCCTAGCCCTCTGTGTGTCTGTTTGTCTATCTGTCTGGCTGGCGCAAAATTTAGCCGGGCCTTAGCAAAAGTGGCCACACGCCTTGTCTTGGATCAATGGGATCATTATCAATGGCAGGGCGCGAATCTTGGGTGGATGGAACATGGATGTATATGAAAAGAGCGTTCGAACCTGTACGTTACGTATTACGTTACGTGCGGTACGAGTACATATATAGATCACAGATCACAAATCGTGGATCGAGCGAGAGTGCGCGAGAGCGCGAGGATGAAAATGGTCAATTTAAATGGTGCTGGCTTGACAGCCGGGTCGATCAATCAGGACAGACATGACGGGGGCTTGTATACCTCTCTCGCCAAATGCCCTTTCATTCCCTGAAAGTCTGGAATGCTGACGCTGAAATTGGGAGTTGTCAATGACCCGATCCAGCGAAACCTCCATCCCATGTCTGGCGACGCGCGGAGCGGATTGACAAGAGTGAGTGCTGCGAGTATGAGAGTGAGAGAGAGTGTTGAGTCAAGGACAGGGCGGAGGGCGGATGGTGCGGAGAAAAGCAACGAGGCCGTGTCTCTGGTTAGTAAGATTTCATCACTGCGGTGGTGACTATCCTCTTTGTAGTACGAGTAAAATGATTAGACGAAACGTACACCTACACGATCAAATATAAAATCCTCAAGAGGTTGCCCATGCTTGATTCAAACTCCTTCAGAGGGCAGTGCGACTTTGTTCCTGGGCGTCTTACTTGTACTCCACGCAGTGCAGCCCGTCGATTCTGACATCCACGCCAATCGAACTATACTGCACAGCCTTGTCATCTGCGCAATCTACCCGATAATCAATCACCACCGACCCGCTTCCTCTCCAGACATCTCGTCGGCACAATGTCAGAGAGTGTCAAGATCTATGGGCTCACAGCCCTTCCAGCCGATCAATCCCAAGACAGACCTAGAACAACTAGCCCCCAGGCCATGACCATTTCATCCCTTCAACCTCCAAACTCACCGCTGGCCGCGCGTGTCGACGGCTATGTCAAATCCAAGCTTGATGCTGACACCTACCGCCACAGTTTGCGCGTGTACTGCTACGGCTGCGCCATAGCGAGGCAGTGCTTTCCCGAGTTTGATCTCACACCAGGCTCCAAACTCGAGGAAACTTGGTTCTTGACCGCCATGCTCCATGACATCGGTACCTGCGACGAGTTCCTGACGAGCACTCGTCTCAGCTATGAGTTCTTTGCCGGTGTCCATGCCTTTGATCTCCTGCAGAACCCAAAGGTATCGGGCGGCGAGGGAGTCGCCCCTCGAGATCAGACCGAAAGTGTCGTCGAGGCCATCATTAGACACCAAGATGTGCAGGACAAAGGAAAGGTGACTCTAGTCACCAGACTGATCCACTGGGGAACGCTGTTGGACAACATTGGCGCTGGAAAGGAGTTGGTCCACCCAGAGACCATCGAGAACGTCGTCCGAGAGCACCCTCGCCCAGGATGGGCTGGTTGCTTTAAAAGAACCGTTGAGAAAGAGAAGAAGTTCAAACCCTATGCTATGGTCAGCCGAATTGAAGGGTTTGAAGAGCTCATTGCTCAAAATGGAGCCGCGGGAGGACTGATGGCCAAGTATGATGCCGCAAAATAATCTGTAACTATGACTATGCGAATTGGTCTTGATGAGACCATTTCAGATTGTGGGCGGTTTGAAAACATTTTCCTATTTCATGCTTTTGGCGAAACGTGGAAGCTCATGATGCGCAAACCAGGACATAATAACGCCTGACCAGCCATCCCACTGGCAGAGCCCATCAATGGCACCGAGCCAATCACTGCACAACGTGTGTCGGACCGTAAAGCCAGCGAGATGATCATGATATCCATGACGTCCATTCCGGGTGGTTGCCTCACTTTGAGGAATTTTACCATATGGCTTGAGTTCGTTCGCTTTAGCCTTCGAGCTTGTAAATGGGAGGAAGAAGATCCAGTCTTGTTGTGTATCTCATGTGCCCATTATTGCCGAGCTGGAAAACACCTTTGTGGTCGTGGGAGGCCAAGCATAGTAGTTCCATCAAGAGCCCTCTTGCCAATACACGTACTTTTCTTGCCAATACTTTTATAATTTCGGGACAACGAGTGGCTTCTGTCATAAAAGCCACGTGTGAGGCTGTGGCAGAAAGAATGGACCGCCGAGCAGAAGAGACGAGGAGAAGGATCTCAACCGGTAGTAGTCGATGGTATTTGACATGCGTGTCGGGTTGATCGTGTTTCAAAAAATATGAGATGGCAGAAACTCGCCACTGCAATCAGCCACTCTCTTGCTTCAAGTATGCGTATCCGTCAGTCAAAGCAGCTCGATATGTTTACGTCCTGACCCTATGCAGCCCGGACAGGGACTGTATATCGGAATTGCGTGAGAAGTGGAGTGTCGGAGGCGAACCAATTTGATGGAAGATGATAGGGAGATCAGATAAGGAGCGCTTCCAAGGCAGCCAGGCGTAGCTTGTAGGCTTTCGTTCCACAACAGTAACATGCCGAGCTGTGAGAGACCAGGGGGGCTGCCTGATGGAGAAGTCTTAGCAAAGTGGCAGTGCAAAGCCCTGACCACCCAATTCCCAGATGCGATTGGAGAATATCCTTCCTACCTGCAGTAGAGGGCGCGAGACGGAGGCAACGGGGACAGAGGTGAGGGTTTTTTTCATTCCAGGTCCGGAGCATGTCAGACGTATTTACCGCCGAGGACAAGACGGGCAACTGTTGTGGTAGTCGAGAAGAAGGCTATCACAATGAAGAGACAGAGCATCAGAGGTAGAATTCTTCGATATTTGTTTGCATCCCCATACCTAGTATGTAATCAGGTACCCGAATGAGCGTGGTCGGCCACTGAATCTCCGACTGAATCTGAGCTGGAGGAAGCTTGGCGCTTTCCAGCGATGCCCAGGGTAGGTACTTCGGGGGCTTGGAGGGAGGGTGCCCGCATTTTAGAGGCTTAGTTAGTGGTGTTTAGGGACCACTGGAGACCTGGTTTGGGTGGCCAAGCTCCGGTCTGGGGCCTGGACTGTTTTTTAAGATTCCATTAGGTATCGTAGAGCAACTGCGTGCATGCATGATGATCCTGGACCGCCCTGACCGTTTGTTCACAACATCACGTATTTTCCCAACTTTTCTGAGATGGTCTTTGCTGTGTCTTGACACCGAGCAAATGGCCTTGCAGTTTGCCTCGTTCTCTACTTTCTTTTGTACATACTCCTCTTCTTAACCCTTGCCCACCTTCTTCCCTCATTATCATTCCCTTTTCTTCGATGCCCTTTCCTGTTTGATCGTGAGGCTGACTCCCGACCAACCGACCCCTTGTTGATCCCCTGCACTGTCACACTGTACATTATCCTGTGTCGACGATTCAGCCTTTCCATAGTAACCGCTATTCCCCAGCCGGCACGGAAGCAACGAAACGTCTTGCTATAGACAGATCGGATTGGAGTATTGGTGTCGCATTGGGACTGGAGACTCCTGTGGTGTGGGCGTGACTTTTGTTAATTCACTGCGATCTGTATGTGTGTTGTCCTTGCCACTTCACGCTCGACTCTCTCACCACTCACCAGTGAAACTATTCTGACCGCTTGGCTACACCAGTTCATCTTCAAATAATTCAACAGTTCACATAATATCGTCATCTATTTCTTCTGCAGGCCGGACTATTTCGCCAGTACAAGTTGGCGCCGTTTCTTGAATGGTCCGCTTTGGAAAGTCGCGCCTCCTGCACAGACACTGAGGAGTCGGGGACATCGCGAGCAACGTCCTCCTCCAAAGTGGCTCTTATACCTCAAGTCCGAGCATGTCTTCACCCTCTGATGGGCAAGCCCCAGAATCGCCGAAAGGCACACCACAGAGACCGCGGGCTCCTACAATTAGTATAGACGATACCGCTGTCAACTCCCCTCCTTCCCCCGAAGAACCTCCCAGCGCAGTGTCCGACAAGCCTGGGCCTTTACCACGAATACAAACATCTGGGCTGGAATCCGAGCCTACCCTCTCCTCCCCACTTTCAGTGTCGCCAACTGATGTTCGACCGTCCTCGGACACTCGCGAGTCGCGTCCCACCTCTCCTCATAATGTTTCCTCTCCCAGAGCCCAGTTTCTCGATGGAGCTGCCCACAACTTCCTTGCTGTCCCCGGCTCAAGAGCGAGGGCTACATCGATGGAGTCTCAAAACTCGGCTTCCACGTCCGAATTCGGGGGGGAAACACAGATTGCTTCAACTATTTCCGGAACGGATGATTTACGCAAGAATTCGTTGGCCAACAACGACGATATCATGAACGATGCAGAGGCGCTGAGGCCAGATCCTGGAACGGAGGCGGATTTTGAGGTTGAAGACAACAAGTTTGCATTTAGCCCTGGACAACTGAACAAGATGATCAACCCCAAAAATTTGGCCGCCTTTCATGCTCTCGGTGGCTTACGAGGTCTAGAGAAGGGCCTGCGTACTGACCGTCACAGCGGTCTAAGTGTGGATGAAGTTGGTTTGAGTGGCACCGTCGACTTTCAAGAGGCTGTTCAAGCAGGCGCTGAGGCTGAACAACACTACGGCACTGTGAAGAGGACGGCCACTTCCAACTCGCTAACGGCACCCGCAAAGATTTCCGAAAACTCGTTCGCGGATCGAAAACGCATTTTCAAGGACAATCGCCTGCCGGAAAAGAAAGCCAAAACCTTCTGGCAGCTTGCATGGATTGCCTACAATGACAAGGTGCTCATTTTGCTGTCTGTTGCCGCTGTTATCTCGCTCGCACTAGGGATCTACCAGACTGTCAGACCTGCGCCCTCAGAAGAGCATGAAGCTCGAGTCGAATGGGTCGAAGGCGTGGCCATCATGGTTGCAATTTTTGTTGTAACTTTCGTGGGCGCGTTGAATGACTATCAAAAGGAGCGTCAATTCATTAAATTGAATCGTAAGAAGGAAGAACGCTTTGTGAAGGTCATTCGGTCTGGAAAGTCCCAGGAAATCTCGGTCTACGATGTCTTGGTCGGGGATGTTATGCACCTGGAGCCGGGTGATCTGATACCCGTGGATGGTGTCTTCATTGAGGGTCACAATGTGCGATGTGACGAATCTTCAGCGACTGGAGAATCTGACATTATTCGCAAAACCCCAGGTGACGAGGTCTTTCACGCCATTGAAACTCATCAGAATTTGAAAAAGATGGACCCGTTCATCCTGTCCGGCGGCAAAGTCTCTGAGGGTGTGGGCACATTTCTTGTGACTGCAACCGGTGTCAATTCGAGCTATGGAAAGACCTTGATGTCGTTACAAGACGAGACTCAGACCACCCCCCTCCAGGTAAAACTGAATGTTCTCGCCGAGTACATTGCGAAACTCGGATTGGCTGCTGGTCTTTTACTCTTCTTGGTGCTTTTCATCAAATTCCTCGCGGAGCTCAAGAATATTGATGGCGGTGCTCAGGGCAAGGGTCAACGTTTCCTCCAAATCTTCATCGTCGCCGTCACCATCATTGTGGTGGCAGTCCCAGAAGGCTTGCCCTTGGCTGTTACGCTGGCCCTTGCGTTTGCGACGACGAGGATGCTCAAGGACAACAATCTGGTACGACTCCTGCGAGCATGTGAGACTATGGGCAATGCTACCACTGTGTGCTCTGACAAAACTGGAACACTGACGCAAAATAAAATGACGGTTGTCGCGGGTACGTTGTCTACAGCTTCTAGATTCGGCGACAAACAACAACCCATTGAATTTTCAGCTACTGGTGATGCGAAGGTTCCAGGTCCTACCGTGGCACCCAATGACGTTTCCTCGGCCGAGTTCTTTGCTACACTTTCTGAAGATACTAAGTCACTCCTCAAGGATTCGGTTATCCTCAACACGACAGCATTTGAGGGTGAAGAAGAAGGAAAGAAGGTGTTTATCGGATCCAAGACTGAAACAGCTCTGATCCAATTCGTCGTCGATCACCTTCCCATTCAGTCCATTGGTGAAGAACGAGCGAATGCAGAAATCGTCCAGATGGTTCCGTTCGATTCTGGTCGCAAATGTATGGCTGTGGTCATCAAACTCCCTAACGGCAAATATCGCATGATGGTGAAGGGAGCATCTGAAATCCTTATTTCTAAGTGTACCAGGATCGTCAGCGATCCCACAAAGGCACTGGTGGATGCACCCATGACTCTAGACCAGATGGAGGCATTGAACGGCATTGTCAGCAACTATGCGTCGCGGTCTCTGCGTACTATTGCTCTGCTCTACCGAGATTTCAACGAATGGCCGCCGCGAGGTGCTGCTTCTGCGGACGACAAGAAACAAGCCGACTTCGATAAAGTCTTCAAAGACATGGTCTTCCTTGGGGTTGTTGGTATCCAAGATCCCCTTCGCCCAGGCGTTGAGAAGGCCGTCCGCGATTGTCAAGTTGCCGGTGTATTTGTGCGCATGGTAACAGGTGACAACATTATGACCGCCAAAGCGATTGCAACTGAATGTGGTATTTTCACACCGGGTGGGATTGCTATGGAAGGGCCTGTGTTCCGGAAACTGAGTTCAAAGCAGCTGACACAGGTGATTCCACGTTTGCAAGTACTTGCCAGATCAAGCCCCGACGACAAGAAGCTTCTCGTTGGACATCTGAAGAAGCTCGGAGAGACTGTGGCCGTCACTGGTGATGGTACCAATGATGCTCCCGCGCTCAAAGCTGCAGATGTTGGTTTCTCCATGGGCATCGCTGGCACGGAAGTCGCGAAGGAAGCGTCGGCTATCATCCTGATGGACGATAACTTTGCATCAATTGTAAAAGCCATCTCTTGGGGCAGGACCGTCAATGACGCTGTCAAGAAGTTCCTTCAGGTAAATCCCTTCAGTCATGCTGGAAGACTAACGATAGGCTGACAACGACCCAGTTCCAAATCACAGTCAACATCACCGCAGTCTTCTTGACCTTTATTTCAGCCGTTGCCAACGATGACGAAAGCTCTGTGCTGACGGCTGTACAACTTCTGTGGGTCAACCTGATTATGGACACTTTCGCTGCCCTCGCCCTCGCCACGGATCCTCCTTCCCCCTCAGTCCTACAACGACGACCGGAGCCGAAATCAGCGCCGTTGATCACAGTCACAATGTGGAAGATGATCATTGGGCAGTCAATCTATCAGTTGGTCGTGACACTGGTCTTGTATTTCGCCGGGGAAAGTATCCTGTCCTACCAAACGCAACATGAAAAGGATCGCCTGCAAAGTACAATCTTCAATACGTTTGTATGGATGCAAATTTTCAATCAATACAAGTGAGTGAACTTCTGGCTATAATTGACGTTAAGTTAAACGCTGACGATATCCAGCTCGCGACGCCTGGACAACAACTTCAATATTTTCGAGGGAGTGCTTCGCAACTACTGGTTCATGGGAATCCAGATTATCATTGTCGGAGGCCAGTGCTTGATAATGTTTGTTGGAGGACAAGCCTTTTCGATCAATCGAATCAATGGAGCCCAATGGGGCTACTCGATTGTTCTTGGTGCACTCTCTGTGCCGATGGCAGTCATCATACGATTGATCCCCGACGAGTTGTTTGCGAGATTCATACCCCATTTGCCGCGGAAAAAGAAGCGGGGTCCAGATTTTGTGCTCGAAGACGACGAAAAGGTGCAATGGAACCCTGCACTGGAAGAGATCCGAGAAGAGTTACAGTTCTTGAAGAGAATCCGTGGCGGTCGCATATCGGAGCTCGCTTACAAACTACAACACCCACGAGATACATTTCTACCACGCTCACGCAGTCCGTCACGCTCACGATCAAACAGCGACTTACCGCAGACACCAGATGGGGAAAATGTTGTATCAGATACACTAACAGGATCCCCAATCACCCCAGAAAGACTAAAACGCCGGGCAAGATCGAGTTCGAACTCGGTATTTGGGCCTGCCACGGCAATGGCTGGAATCATTGCAGGAAGCGTCGCTGGAGGATGGTCACCAATCGAGAGGCGACCCGAAGAACAAGAAACAGTGCGTTTCACGAGAGCTCGATCTCATTCCGGTGTGGAAGGGACGAGTGGTATGGAAATCCATCCAGCAACACCGGCAGAGGATCCAGTTTTTGCCAGCTCGGCTCCAAGGGTTGGCGTCCCTCCCAGCCAAGATCCTGAACTTGCTCCGCATTTCGATCTTGCACCACCGCACAGTCCTACTGGACGACCCAAGGGCTCACATTCACGACAAGGATCTGCTGTGTGAAGCTGAAGCTATGTCTGTTGTGATGATGTGCAGGGATGATTTGCTTCGATGGGATCTACCACCCGAGGTAGCCATTCCGTTGCAGGCAAGATGGCATCCAACAGCAATCTATCCGCTTTGGGAAGAGCCGTGCTACGATACTCACAAGATAGGCGGCAATCCAAAGCCGTGGGTCGCTCGAAATGGATGTTGAATTTGCGTTGCAGCCAACCCGGAGCGTCCGATGGAATCTGCGCGCTAAGGCTGAACGCAAAAAAAAAGAGGCTACACGTTTCTGCGTTCTAGCGCCAGCTGGATCTGCCAAGGCGGCCGTAAATATGGGTGTGGAAATGGGTAAGGGACTGGATCAGCGGGTCAAGGCAAATACGGGATACGAGAGTGTGGAAGAAACAAAAGGCTGGCTGGGAGCAAGAGCCACAACCTGCGAAGCACAGGAATGTTTGGCTCCTGTACAGCACATAGAACATAGCGCTTCTCACCGCATGTCCCCTTATTGATAATAGGATATGATGAGGACAAACAGTGCAACCTGATCATGGAAGACTTGAGTAAAGAGGATATTATCCTAGCACTAACACAGGCGTACCACCAATACTCCCTATTCTCGTATGCTCGAGTAAAGGTAAAGGGGCTGATGCGGTGGAATCTTGCCCCCGAGGCTACCCCGTGAGGCTGTGAACCGAGGCAAAAACCCCCCATCGCATCCCAAGCCGCATTTCTACTGTCGGTTGTTGCCAATGGAGGCCAGGCATTGCCTTTTTTAAACTCCACATGCGCTCCCATATTATCTCATCGCACTGCTACGTCCGCATCTCGCTCTTCGCTTCGTCGTATCCGCCGGTCACGGGCGGCCCGTTTATCGCTTCGTCTTGCTGGATATCTTGTTGTTGGGGAACAATGGCTTCTGGGCGGCCAACGTTAAATAGAATTGGGCTTTGCATCCCTCGCTCGACGTCTCTTTTCAACCAGCCTGCAACCAGGAATTCCCTCTCTATCCGTCTATATTGGACTTCTCCTGCACACACTCTCTACCCTCGGTTCAGCGCTCACAGGCCGATCAACCTTGCCGCTGGACAATTTTCCGTACCCGCCTCGTCATCCGTTCGAGTAAGAGCCTTTCGATATTCGAAACCGATACAAAAGACTACGTGGAGTCCATATTCTACAGGTGGGTTACATTTAATCCAGTTTCAGTCCTGACGGATTGCTGAAACACGAGGCCGCAGTTGTCGTCCACAACAAAGGACAAGCCCGTGTCCGCCGGACAATCAGCTTCATCCTCATCAGCACCACCTTCTTCGCAATCGGTGCCTATTTTGCCATTACCTACGCCCCTCCGATCCCCACGCCCTTCATCATGGGTTCAATGCCCTCGGATGCCGAAACACTCGAGCTCTACTCCCCGGACAATGACTTTGCACGCGAAGTCGACGAACACATCAAAAATTGTGCCCTGGCACAGTCCCTGAGGGCCAATCCCGATTTTGTCGAGTCAAGACCGCACCTGAAAATCCCCGAAGAGCTGAGATCACACAATCTGACGGCAGGGACATTGGCGGGCCCAGGAATGATCGTGGTGCCCCCGTACTACTTCAATGAAAAAGGCGGAAAATCCATGGTGCAGATATTCTACGTCGGCACGGATGTTTCTGGACACCCGGGGATCGTGCATGGAGGGTTTCTGGCCACCATGCTCGACGAGGGACTGGCGCGGTGCGCATTCCCTGCTATGCAGAATAAAGTGGGCGTGACTGCCAATTTGAACATCAACTACCTCAAGCCGACGATGGCTGGACAGTTCCTGGTGCTGCGGGCCAAGACGACGAAAGTCGAAGGCCGCAAAGCGTGGGCTGAAGGGTGGATTGAGAGCCTTGAGGTTGCCGAAGGAGAGGAACCCGTGAAACTGGTCGAGGCGAGCGCCCTGTTCGTTGAGCCAAAACACGCAAAGGTACGTCTGCTGTGGCAATTTCTAGTTAATGCGGGCTGCTGTGACTGACAATCCGCGTCATAGGTGTTGAAATCTCTTTACAGGGTCACCACATGACCTCAAGCGTAAAGGATACGGTGGTGTTGGAAATAGTCGACTATTCTTTTCCCTCCAAGACCTCATTGTGCTCGACTCGGTTCAAGAAGAGTATCAAAAGCGTTTAGACTATGGAGAGTGGAGTACATACTGGGACCTTTGCTTCACGGGGTAGGAGATGGGTTGGGGATATATGCCCATTGGAAGCTTGCGATTTTGAACAGATGGCTAAGATGGCATGGCGGGCATGCCGTCAACGAGGCTGGGAGCGATTTGGCTCATTTAGAGGTGTTTGTGACTTTTTTTTGATACGTTCTAGAGCCGTGCATAGATTATATGTACAAGAACACTGAATATGAAGAACAAGAATTGAAAATCACACACATGGCATTGGCTTTTGGCCGCCATCAAATTTTTGTCACCAGATGTGTGAGCTGTCGTGATCGTAAGGTGGGATGTCGCAAAGGATTATTATCAACAACCTCGGAGGCAAATGACGGGGTGAGGCGGGCTTGACGAAATGGAAGATGATGACAGGTCAGATTCTATTCTAGAGTAGCCCGAAACGGCAAAATCGCAGCACCAAGGCGAAATCACGTAGGTCCCAGCGAGACACTTCCTATCTCGACCCATTATTATTCCTACTCGTCCACGATCCCGGCATATTTGTCCCCGATTTCGAAACGCTTCCAGGAACTCCACCGATGGGCGAGAGGGGGGTGGGGGAGCGAGGAAATGTTCTTGGTCAACGGCATATCAGTGGCATGACGATCCCGCATACGTCGTATGATGGATGGAGTCCTGGCGAAGAGGACACATCCCAGTAGTTTTTGCATCCAATGCCCTCGATGGGAATACCCCTCGCTGTCCTCGCTCGCCGACTGCTACCTTTGTATTGTTCTTTTTTAACCACCGCTCCGTGTGACCCCTACCTTGCTCTATTGCCGAGAACAACACGCAGAGGAGGAGGGGAAGACGACAGGCTTCCATCGTGTTCTTGTTTGAATGGCTGGCCTCAGTTTGTCCCGGATCGTTGATGTGGAAGTGTTTCCCCCCTTCCCTGGCTCTTTGCATCCTCTCCCCACCACCCCTTGCCCTCCGAGAAATTCGGTTCCATGTCGTTTGGTTAGAAACTAGAAGATTCGATCGCCAATGGGGGCATTTTCTGGGGCCGCTGCCATCTGCGGACAAATGACGTTGCAGGTAATAAAAATCTAGAATCGATAATGCTTGCGTCTTCACTTGTTGTGCCGAGGGTGTCGAGGTTCCCAACCCCTTGTCATGCCCAAAGTTTGGTGGCGGGTGGGATGGCATGGGATGGGATGGTCTTTCGCTGGACATTGCCCAAACAGTGCAAATCCGGTCGCTCCAACTAGCCGTTCTAAGAAAAACGCACGAAGCTCACAGACCAACCGCAAGAGAGCTAATAAATCCCTGGCTGGCTAGACGCCGATTTCCGGCGGGGGGCTTATGCGCTAATCCTACCTTGGCATATGGGTAGCGAGGTAGGAAGGTACCTGGTATTTGATTCACTTGAGGGGTCTCCCTTTCACTTTGCTCTCTGTATAAAGACGCGGGGTAGTTCTCTCCCTTCCCGACATGTCTCTTGCTCTTCTCTCACCTTCACGTTGTACTTCTCTTCGACTGTCTTTTCCTCTCACTAGACTGACAAGAGCATCTGCAGCCATGGCTTCGTCTAAATGCCCAATGAGAGAGGCCAATGTCGCTGGTGGCGGCACCCGCAACCGCGACTGGTGGCCAAACGACCTCAGACTCAACATCCTCCGCCAGCACACTCCTGTCTCCAACCCCCTCGACAAAGACTTCAGCTACGCACAAGCCTTCAAGAGCTTGGACTATGAAGCTGTGAAGAAAGATCTCCACGCTTTGATGACAGATTCTCAGGACTGGTGGCCCGCGGACTTTGGTCATTATGGTGGTCTCTTCGTTCGAATGGCCTGGCACAGTGCTGGTACCTACCGTGTCACCGACGGCCGTGGTGGTGGTGGTCAAGGTCAACAACGCTTTGCTCCCCTCAACAGCTGGCCCGACAATGTCAGCTTGGACAAGGCACGCCGCTTGCTCTGGCCCATCAAGCAGAAGTACGGCGACAAGATCTCCTGGGCGGATCTCATGCTCCTCACTGGCAATGTCGCCCTCGAATCCATGGGTGTCAAGACCTTTGGCTTTGCTGGAGGCCGCCCAGACACCTGGGAGGCTGATGAGTCTGCCTACTGGGGCGGCGAAACCACCTGGCTAGGCAATGACATTCGTTACTCGCAGGGTCACGCAGGCGTCGCGGGTGATGGAGTTGTCGATGGTGATGAACATAAAAAAGATCACAAGGACATCCATACCCGGGACTTGGAGACTCCGCTCGCAGCTGCGCACATGGGCTTGATCTATGTCAACCCAGAAGGCCCTGACGGCATCCCCGACCCTGTCGCTGCCGCTCGAGACATCCGCACTACTTTTGGCCGTATGGCTATGGACGATACAGAAACCGTTGCCCTGATTGCCGGTGGTCACTCCTTCGGTAAGACCCACGGTGCCGGTCCTTCGGACAATGTCGGCAAGGAACCACAAGACGCTCCCATCGAGCAACAGGGTCTTGGATGGGCCAGCAAATTTGGCTCCGGCAAGGGCCCGGACACCATCACCAGCGGTCTCGAAGTCACCTGGACCGGCACTCCCACTAAATGGAGCAACAAGTACCTCGAATATCTCTTCAAGTACGAGTGGGAGCTCACAAAGAGCCCTGCTGGTGCCAACCAGTGGGTTGCAAAGACAGACGACTTGATCATCCCCGATGCCTATGACCCAAACAAAAAACACAAGCCAACCATGTTGACAACCGACCTTTCCCTCCGTTTCGACCCTACATACGAAAAGATTTCACGTCGTTTCCTTGAGCATCCAGAGGAACTCCACGACGCTTTCGCTCGTGCCTGGTTCAAGTTGTTGCACCGCGACATGGGTCCACGATCCCGCTGGCTCGGTCCGGAGATCCCGTCCGAGGTCCTGATCTGGGAAGACCCTCTTCCTCCTGCCAACCACCCCATCATTGACGAGAGTGACATTTCCAGCCTCAAGCAAAAGATTCTGGCCACTGGCATCAAGCCTTCCGACCTGGTGACTGTTGCCTGGGCATCGGCTTCAACCTTCCGCGGCAGCGACAAGCGGGGCGGCGCCAACGGTGCTCGCATTCGCCTCGCTCCCCAGAACAAATGGAAAGCGAACAACCCCCAGACACTGAGTCAAGTGCTCAGCGCTTTGGAGAAGGTACAACAGGAGTTTAACAGCTCCGCAAGCGGTGGCAAGAAGGTGTCACTGGCGGATCTCATCGTCCTGGCGGGCAGTGCTGCTGTGGAGAAGGCTGCCGGCATCCCTGTTCCTTTCACCCCTGGGCGCACTGATGCCACTCAAGAGCAAACCGACGCCCAATCTTTCGAACACCTCGAGCCTTTGGTTGATGGATTCCGCAACTATGGCAAGGGAACAAGACGTGCCCGCACCGAACACTTCCTCATCGACAAGGCACAGCTGCTCAACCTCTCTGCCCCTGAAATGACCGTGTTGGTTGGTGGTCTCCGTGTCCTGAACGCCAACTGGGATGCTTCTTCTCATGGTGTCTTCACCAAGCGCCCTGGTCAACTGACCCCCGACTTCTTCACCAATCTCCTCGATATGGGCACCACCTGGAAGGCCGCAAGCGCTGACGAGGAACTCTACGAAGGCTTCGACCGCAAGACCGGCCAGAAGAAATGGACTGCCACTCGCAGTGACCTTGTCTTTGGCTCACACGCCGAGCTGCGTGCTATTTCCGAGGTGTATGCCAGCGCTGGTAACGAGGAGAAGTTTATCAAAGACTTTGTTGCAGCTTGGGCGAAGGTGATGAACTTGGACCGATTCGACGTGGCTTCCGCTCAAGACCCCGCAAGAGCGCGTCTATAGACGAGATGAAAGACGCTGTGAAGAAGGGAGAACTATGATAAGCACCATTGTGCCGTAAGTCGCTTTATCATGCAGTTTGGAGTCGGGTCAGTGGGCAGTCAATAAGTTCAATCGGTTAGCAGGCTCAATGAACTGCAACCGTACTAAATAGCAATACAAAATGTACCAGTTGAAATATGACTTCGTATTTTCGATCTATTTAAGATGATAAAGCTGAGTTGTAAGAGCACTAATGGGATGCTGCCCCAAGGGTGTGTAGAACAACGTGGTGTGCGTGCCCTACGAGATGGAAATGGGCATGACGCACCCCTCCCACTGGGAGCTTCGACACGCCAATCATCATATCGCAGCGAGGGAGCTCCATGTCCGCCAACTGCACCATCTAAATAGTTCACCCGGATTGCTGCGAGCAATCGACACCGGTGCAGCCTTTCTCTCTCATGCATACTCGTATGGACCTGTGGGACTGAAAGCTCCTCGTATTTTGTATACTTTGTGTCTCTCTTCATCTCGCTCTCCCCCCCGGTCCCGAGCCACCCAAACCTCCCAATCCAGGCCCCCAAGCCCGCAACCGTCCTCCACCATGTCTGCCAAATATCTCTTCATCTCGGTCCCCTCGAGTATAACCCCGTCGGGCCACAAGGACGACGCGATTGCATCGGTCCAGAAAGCCGCGAACCCGTCCAACGGCGACGTCCTCCCGTTCTCCATCCCCGAGTTCAAGATCGGCACGCTCGATGCCCTGTTACAGCAGTCGGAGGAACTGGCCAAACTGGCGGCAGTTTGTCACGGAGTGGTGGGGAAGGTCGGGGATACGTTGAAGAATATCCTGGACGGGGACGAGGAGAAGATTGCGATGCACAAGAACGTCAATGACAGTATGTTTTCAGAATGCGATTGGAACTTGGCCCGCGTATGGCGGATTTGCGGATTGAGAGGGCTGACTTTTGCTTGATTGCTGGCCCTGTCCAGAACCACTCGAGCAATACCTCCGGAGTTTCTCGTGGAATAAAGTCAAATACCGCGCCGACAGGCCGCTGTCGGAGCTGATTGATCTTCTACAGAAG